AACAGTCACCGGAAATTGACATAGACATACGGTGACTTGTTTGTTCTCACCAATCCTCTGATACCATGTGAGAAATATATGAGAAATATTATTGAATTGTGTATTTAAATTGTTACATTGAGACCCTATTTATAGACTAGATTGGAATCCTTTTCCAACTAGGATTCCTATTCTTATTCCTATTCCTATTCCTATTCTAAGTAGGAAATACTTATATCTATTCTAACAGATCACATTTCATTTTGCACGGTACTTAAGAAATCATAAATAAGTAGATAATTTTACTAATTTACCCCTTAAAAAACTTTTTGGGAATTTTACAAACAAATGTGAATACTTTCAAAAAGAATTAATTGCAAGGGTAATATTGAAAAAAATTAATCAATGCTTTCTTGATTTAGTAAGGTGGACAACTAATATGAGACAACTATTGTTGGTATAATGATCAACTAATATGGGACGGAGGAAGTACCTAATAGGTTAATCATTTGTGTCCAGTCTAAAGGTAATATTGGGTGAGGGGCAGTTGTATGATAAGTGAGCCTTTGCTTCTATTTGTTTAACTACTTTGATTAAAGCCATCCATGTGAATCAATATTTTTGTCAGCAACTCCAGCAGAGATGCTTGTCATTTCAGGTGAGATACTACCTTTTTTGTTTCATTCCGCGGCAAGAACGATGTCTCTGTTGGGCATCACAAAGGTCTGGAGCAAGGTTTTCCTTCTGTTGGTTGTTTATTTGAACTCTCCTCGACTGAAGTTAAGGAATGATGGCATGACCTCTTTCCCATGCCATGCGAAACCTATTGGACATGTGATGCCTTCTCTTATCAGTAGTTTGCTTTAATTTGAATGAAGACTTGACAAGATGGGGTGGCTCAAGTTGAAAGCACTCTCCACTTCCAACCTCGATAATGGGTTTTGAGTCACTGAAAGAGCAAAGTGGGGAAAGGTCGGGGTGGGGTAGATGTAGGTTACCATACAGGAATAAATAATGTAAAGAAAGAGTTTTAGTAGTGAAAAGATAATATTATGTGGTGGAGTTGAGAGATACTGCAGATTTTGCATCTTACTTTTGTTGAATCTTCCAAATAGCTCTGACTTGTTGATTATTTTGGATTTGCAGAATGCAGGTATGGCTACACCACTAATAGAAGTCATTTATGATGTCCTGAAAGCCAAGTGGGACCATGAGAGGACCAAGTTTTCATTGCCTCCATTGATGACTCTAGTGAGTCTGATAAATTATGTTCCATATTCTGTTGAACATTGTCTGTATAACTGTGATCAATTTCTTATCGACTTTTAGTAAGCTGGATGATAAAAGAAATCTGATTTACCTGATAATCATCTCTTTTGTATAACTCTTCTTCTAATTATAAATCTTCACATCCTTTTTTGACCTCCAAGCTCATTGTTGACTGGACATAAGATTGATTATCATGCAGTCATAGTGAACCACAAACAAGTTGCTTAGCCCAACTGCTAAATATTGTTGTCAAATATAGTCACTTTTTGTGGTGCGAGGGTTAAAACACACAAATTTTGCTGTGTTAAGATTAAGTGATTTCTTCAGCTGTGATGGGTAATGAATCTTAGTTGGAAGGTCACTCATGCAGCTTATCATGCATTTGCTAGCCTACTTTAATGAACATTAACATTGAAGTATCCTGTCTAAAATTTTTGACCTTATGCTGGCCCATTATTATGGATTCTTTCTTGCTCTTTTGAGGCTCACTACTACACTCTACTGCTACAAAATTTGACTTATTAATTACCATGTAAATTGTCTGTGGTGCACAGTGTTTCTTCCTTTAAGTTGCTGAAATTGATTGCTAAGCATCTTGCAGTTACTTGGAGAACCGGGCAGTGGAGGATCTTCTACCCCATCAATGGTTGGTGCTGTTAAGAAATGGCAGAAGTCTGATCCTCAGAATTCTCTTGAAACATGGAGAAAGTTGTCAGAAGGGAACTCTGCCTTGGAAATGCACCTTAATACCTTATGTAAATTGGCAGAAAGGAACTACAATGTTTATGAATGTCTCATCAACGCCTGCAGCCTGCTTCCCGCAGAAAAGGTAAAATTCTTTTGGTCAAAATTGAAAAGGAAGTTCAAGATCTAGTATTATGTAGAAATTTTGCGAACTATCCGTATTCAGTACGGAAGTTTTTTGCTTCATTTTATGCTTAATGGTACGTATAATTATCCTTGATGCACTTACCTTCTAACTTGTTCTGGAAAGGCTTACTCTGCTAAGTATCCATGGGTGTTTGAAGTGCTGAAAATTGGCTTAACTTTACTGAGTTGATTCCGAACCATAGCAGTGGTTACTTTCACCTTCTTGATAAGTCATAGAACAATAATTACACCCTCAATCCCAAGTTGCTTGGGGTTGGCTACCTTCTTGATTAGTCATTCTCACTAAAAAACCACATGAAACTACAGCCGTAATAGCTGAAAAATGTATTACTTAAGAGCTAATGGAAACAATTAACACAAACATACTGCAAGTGCAGGCTAACACATGTAGAATAAGGGATTTATTCCCCCTGTAAAAACAAATTCCAAAAGATACCCTCTTCTCAATAATTCCCATTCTACTTCTGATTTTGAACTTTATTTGCTCCTCGCATCATATCAATAAGGAGCGAAGGATGACCTTCTAGTTCCACTATAATAGACTGGCAAGTCTTTCTGAGGCAGTAGAGCCCCCTTCCTCTGAACTTGCGTCCAGTGAATTTTTAAGCCCTCTTTCTGTTAGGAGTCATAATCCTCCTCCTCAAGCATCCTCCTTCGAGTCTTTCAAAGTTGCAACCATTAGCTGGAACAATTTCTCCCTTAACAACAATCATTTTTCTTAGAGAAGCTTCCATTATGTTGTCTCAACACAACAAAAATTCCTTATTTTTAATACCATCACGTTTTGGAGGTAGGTACTGACGATCTAAAAAAGGTCATTCAATTCTTTTCTCCTGCATGTCTGAATGAAATTTTCGAGATCAATTATTTAGACAATCCAAGTAGCTCCTTGCAAATATTTCTGTCTTCAAATCGAGCATCATTACTTTTTGGTTGGATTATGTAATATTCCTTCCACAGTTTATGAAATTTTCTTCTAAAACTCAAGTTTTTTCTGGTTTTCACCCTGACTAGTGGCTTGAGAGAGCAAATGAACCAAGTCAAGCAGATATTGTTAAAGAGTTGTTAGGAGCCCGAGATGCGATGCTTGGAATCAGGTATTATATGCGCAAAATGGGAGAGGCTGCAGGAATTCCGGTAAGTTTGTTGCTACCATGTACTCAAAATCAAAAGCTCTTAGGAGTCAGCTACATTGCTGTCTTCTCCCATTTTTTTAAACCATCTTTCACCATGTGTCAAATTCACAGATAGAGCCTGAATCACAAACTCACCTTCTGGATACAACGATGAGTATGGAGGGGGTTCTGTTGGCTGGTGTTCCTGGTGCTGGTGGATTTGATGCAGTCTTTGCCGTCACTTTGGGGCCTTCAAGCAAAAATGTGACGAAAACTTGGAGTTCACTCAATGTTCTTGCTATGCTAGTGACGGAAGATCCTCGCGGTGTGTCTTTGGAAGATCATGATCCTCGAGCCAAGGAAATTACAGCAGCTGTTTCTTCAATCCAACTTCAATAATGACCCGCAGGTATAGGAGATATTATATCCGATGGTTTTATCATGCTATATGACTACAACATCAGATTTTACCACACAAGAAGGATATATTAGAGCTCTGTACTGTAAGGTCAGAATCACCTTCATCAATAAGCACCAAATGAGTGCCTGTTGTATTTTTACCCAAAACTTTGATCTTGTTAGAATTAGGTCCCTTTTACTTCAGAACTCTGTATGATTTGTGGAATCAAAATGTTAGCTTCATTCCATTGGTGAGTCTTATCTTTTATACTTGGATTAAGTTTGGAGTTTCATGTCCATTCTCTAATTGATCCCACCCCCAAGCATTACCCACCAAGAAATAAACTTTAATTCATCACATAGCTCTCTGAATTTTTCGTTTTATAATGGTGGTGTCCATGCCAGTTTACACATACATCGATTATTTCAGTGGATACTTGTGTTCTCCTATCAACACAAGAATTCCTCAATTGTTCCCGTGTGGGTCTTATTGCATGGTTTATCGTTCCATTGTCACATTTGAAATTATGACAAACAAATAGCAAGAACTTTGGACTCAAAACCCAATCTAAAAATCATTTAAGAAGAAATTTGATTTTTTTAAAACTGATGCTAAATTAGTATATATATACTGCATTGGACTATTGGTATCACTAAAATTAATAATTTCGCTTAACTGATACTAAATGTATTGGTATCATTAAAGTTTCTTGTTGAGAAATTACTCATTAGTCAATGATGTTATAAGAATATATATATATATATACTCATTTGTGGTATCATTAAGGTTTCTGGTTAAAAAATTGTATAATTAATATATAGATAACTTTTATCCTATTTACAAACTAAACATGATATAAAATTAATATATGAATAACCAAGTTATTCATATATTCTTTATTGGACTAAAAAGTAAAAGTAAGAAAAACAAATGGAAAGAGGTGTTTGGATACTAGAGATCCCTAATTAGCCTTTAATCACAGTATTTATACAAAATTCAGTCTCTCTCCATTACATCGACACCGCCAGTTAACAAACTATGGAGAAAGAACACGGCGACCTTCTCCCACTGAACCCTACTCCGGCGGCGGCGACGACGACCGCAGTTGACGCCGGAGATCAGCAGCCACTGCAGCAGTCAACTCGGTCACGTCCGAAGCGGTTCGTGAAGAACCAAATGCCAGACTCCATCCTAAACGATGCAGCACTCAACGCCGCCATATCACTTCTACCTCAAAACTACAACTTTGAAATCCACAAGTGCGTATGGCGAGTACGGACTTCAGGTGCCAAGCGCGTGGCCCTGCAGTTCCCTGAGGGTCTCCTCATGTACTCACTCATCATATCCGATATACTCTCCACATTCACTTCCGCCACTCACTGTTTCATCCTCGGCGATGTGACTTTCGGCGCGTGTTGCGTCGACGATCTCTCGGCAGGAGCTCTTTCCGCTGATCTCCTCATTCATTTCGGCCATAGCTGCCTCGTGCCTATTGATTCCACCACTATCCCATGCCTTTATATATTCGTCGAAATCTCGATCGATGTTCACAGGTTGTTGAATGAACTCAAACTCAATTTTTATAATTCTGATACGTATGACAATATCATTATGGCTGGAACAATTCAATTTGCTTCTGCAATTCGGGCGGTTAAGCCCGAACTTGAAAAAATGGGGTTTAGTATTTTGATTCCTCAAGCTAAACCGTTATCGGCTGGGGAGGTACTCGGCTGTACTGCCCCGAGTGTTAAGAACAGGTTTTCTGATGGGGAGAATGTGGTTTTGGTATTTGTGGCTGACGGTAGGTTTCATTTGGAGGCGTTTATGATAGCGAATCCGGGGATAAAGACTTATAGATATGATCCATTTATAGGGAAGTTGTTTGTGGAGGAGTATGATCATAAGGGAATGAAGGAGGAGAGGAAGAGAGCAATTGAGAAAGCGAGGGGGGTGAAGAATTGGGGGATAGTGCTTGGGACATTAGGTAGGCAAGGGAATCCAAGGATATTGGATAGGTTAGAGAAGAAGATGTCGGAAAAGGGGATGACTTGGACAGTTGTGTTGATGTCGGAGATATCTCCTACGCGGATTGCATTGTTTGAGGATGCAGTGGATGCTTGGATTCAGATTGCTTGTCCGAGGTTGTCAATTGATTGGGGAGATGCGTTTAAAAAGCCTTTGCTAACGCCATTTGAGGCGGAGATTGCATTGGGTGATTTGTCTGGGTGGTGGGAGAGGAAGACATCAGTGAATTCAGATATATGTTGTGATGAAGATATGAAATGTTCAAAGAATGAATCTTGTGGTGCTTGTGATAATGATGGTGAGAAAGTGAAGGAAGAGTCGCAAGTGGATTATCCGATGGATTATTATGCTCAGGATGGTGGGGAGTGGAATTCTTGCTACTCTAAGAAGCCTGCTAGACTTTCACACAGAAATAGTCAATCTTGTAATGGTGCCAGTGCCATCAAATCTAATAGCTGAGCTAACTTGTTCCAGCTGGACATATTGCTGCCATCGTAAATGGAGTTTACACTTCTAAAGTGAGTACCTCCCTCGTATTTTCTGTTGAGGCCTTTTAGCTCAAGTCTCCATGCCCGTAAAGTTACATTCTACGTAGTAAACAAATTATAAATAGTTCCTGTATTTATTACTTTTACAGGACTAATTTGGAATATTATCTTTAACCTTACTTTAGTGGTGTTATTTTGCTATCCTTCTGTGAGTTATATCTATGTAAGTTGGTGTCAAAACTCTAATTATGCGAGACAATAACAAAGTTTAAAAAAAGCATTTATCGTGCTCCTTTGCGTCATGCAGTCTTATCTATTGACCAACCCCAGGAGAGAGTTGCAATCTTGTATCTTGCTATTTCACTTCATGCATCCCTTTATTGACCAACTCCAACAATTTAGGTGCAAGCCCAGCTGTCCAAATTTATTCATCAGTTCCAGTAGAAACGGTATTTTTTTTTTTGAAGAACAGTCTGCCACTTTGTTAAGATATTTAATAGGTAAAATACAGTGGGCTTTCAGGGGAGGCTTAGATCAAGTGAATCATTATGGTGACAGTAATCCGTCTTCGTGATAGACTCGTCCTAGAATGTGAGGGATCCAGTTGCATTTCATATATGCATCTTCTTTTTCTGTCTTTTCTTTCTACATTCCTATTGTTGTAGCTTCCTTGCATCACATAGGTTAAGAGATGTGAGATATAGAATGTCTGCTGAGTGATGGTATATTATGTCTCTACAAAGGTTGATTGCATAAAAAACTGGGCTTCTCTATTTCTTATCATTCATGTTATATGCTTGTTGTTAGGGTGGAATGAAAAAAGGGTGATGCTAAGGCTATATAAGTATGGAGAAACCACCTGCTACCTTTATCCACGGCCATGATTTATTCAGTCCTAGAAAGGATTTTCAAATGAATCTGGGTTTTCACTGAGGCGCCATTAAAGGGAAGGCTGGAAAGTTCACGAATGAAATGCGTGTGGTATCTTGCTTAGATATTTTTAAAAATTGCTAGCTCTTTTTGTCTTAGCGTCATTGTTAAACTTTTAAGGTTTGATGAAAGATGATTCTTTTAATTTGTATATCTTTTGAGAGGATGTACTATGTATCATACTTATTCAATGAAGGAAGAGTTGTGTTATTTCTTTAGTTCTAGTTATGTTTTGAATATCAACTCATTAGCATACATCCCATATTTTATTTTTGCTCATAAAAAAAAACATACAGCCCATACCAGGTACTTAGTAATTTTGTTGGTGGAATATTATATCCATGAAGAATATTCAGATAATTCTCCAAGATTTTTGCACTAAGCACAGCTAAGAAGAATTGACAAGTGAAACGGAAATGAGTTGGGTTCAAGTATTTGGACCATACATTTTTTGAGTTGTATCATAGAATCAATCGATAATAATGTAAAAGATACAACACTAACATAAAACATAGTATTGTCTACGGTACAAAGAAAATCTTTTTAACATTATTATAGAAATTTACATGCAACTGTGTTTGAATTTTTACACACACAATACCATCATGCTTCTTTGGCATAGCAATAGTACCTTGACAAAGTTGAGCAATCCATCAACAAATCCCAGATTCCTCCAACAATTTAAGCAGACTATGTTCAGGTGCACTCATTGATGGAAGAATAACCCGATTCATGGGTATTGTTCGAGTTGCCATAGAGTCGGTAGCTCTTCCTTCAGGCCTTCTAATTCGCACAGAAGACCCTCTCTCCTTCCATATTCTTCCCTCCTGTAACTCAAGAATTATACAAATTCCAGTTAGCAGTTCTAACAAGTACAATGAAGGAGCCGGGAGTATTCAAAAATACAAATATTAAGTTTTGGACCTATAAATTCAAAAAAAATAATAAAGAATCTTGAAATCATTAACTTTAAATCTTGAATCCACCTCTAGAGACGAGTATTTACACATACTCGATAGAACATATACACATGACTACTTCAGAGACATATAGGGGGAGTTGAAGACCTTACATTTAGTACTGAAGGTTCTGGAAAGGGACATTGAATTGGTCGATCAATCTCAAGAGGCTCAGAGGGGTGTTTAACTGGCTTGAACTCAACTGCAAATTCAATACCATGAGGCGTCCCAGAGAAAGCCCTGTCTATAGTAGCCTCTGAATTTGGGGGAAACACTTCCCTTTCATCCTGCAATCAAATTACATCATAAAATTTCTATAACTAAATCTCCGCGGCGCGCTTAGGAAACAAGTCCTAAATGGCGTTCTAACAGAGAAATTTTCAGTTGAGAGCGATTCTCATATTAGTGCTATGTTTTCTAATCATAAGCTAAATAACTTGACAACTAAATACCAATATGACGAGTTTAATTATCATGTCAATTCATGGTGGAATAGAAGAATCAGAACAAACTTTTATTTTATGTGATCAGACCAAAAGTAAGACTAGGCACTACAAAAGATTTCGTAAATTAGCACAATATAGAGACTGAAAACAAAAACAAAAACGCCAAGAATCAGTCAACCAGAAGACAATTTGTTACAAGGACAAAATTTATTTACATACAAGTGCACTTTGAGTTCGACGATGGCCAGCTCTGCTCACAGAAAATCTTGAAAAAATGCCCACCATATTTGCCTCTTGATCTTCTTCTTTTTTCACATGTAAAGTTCAACTAAATTCATCAATACTTTTAATACAAAACATAAATTTATGTGTACAAATTTGTAATCCGGAAAAGAAAGAAAAAACAGGCACGTAACAAGTTAGCTTGGCTAGTCGGGTTTTGTGTGGATTCGGTGAGTCAATAATACTACTTAATTTTGGGAGTTAAAAAAAATGAATAAGTGGTGTTTAGATTGGCTTAAAAGTTGGTTAAATCTACTTTTAAGTTAGTTTTTGATTTCTGAAAGTGTTTGATAAATATAAAAAATAATTTAAAATAAGTCAAAAATGACTTAAAATAAGTTGAAAAGTATTTGGCAAGGTAAAAATTACTTAGAATAAGTTTAAAATGACTTAAAATAAGTCAAAAACAAAAAGTAGGTCTTCTCGTATTTTTTATTTTTTGATTTAAAAGTCATTTGAGTTTGACTTATTATTTTTAGCTTAAAAACTACTTTTTTAAGTCAATCCAAACGGACTCTAAGTACAAAGTGTTGGTTAAAGAATCATTAATAATTTCTCTTTTCGTTTTACTTTATATAGCATTGTTTAATTAGGCATTGAATTCAAACCTAAAAATTGTCATATTGTTTTAAAACAAATTAAAATGAGGAAAACGACAAGTAGAAAGAAAGACGGTGGAACTTAGATGAAGTGTCATGTGTTGTTTTAGTTTAAGTGGGTACACTTGTCTCTGTTAGATACGCAATCTTTATTATTTCTTTCATTCTTGTCTCTCTCTGCTCATCTGGGTCCCTTTAGTTTCTATGCCAGCAACCGTCTCTTCTATAGTTTTTTTTTTGTTTTTTTTAAATGTAGCTGAGAACGGTTGAAATTATCCCTCAATTTTTATTTAACGGTTAGTTTTATCCTCTGTTATATTACGTGATTGTCAATAATTTTACCATCCGTATCCTTCAATTGGATGGAAAACCATCTTCCTCCTTTGCATCATGATGATGGGTTTGATTACTTTTTTGCTCCTTTGAATTTAGCTACAACACTTTTTTAGTACTTGATTTGATATCAACTATATATATATATATATATTAATTTACCACTAATTGGGGTTCATAAACAGTGGCGGAACTAGAAATTTCACAAAGGGTGTCCAGAAATAGCATAATAAAAGTTCTTTTAAAAAAATAGAACTAGTGAGATTCGCACAGACGAGCGCTTCCTCATTCCAAAGAGGTGAAATCATTAGGCTATAACAGTTTGTTATGTTAGGGTATTCAAAGTATGTTATTCATTTCGTATATCTTTTTATTTGTATGTATGATTTTTTTTACTACCACGTGGCTATGCCACTGTTCATAGATAACAAATTTAGTGCCCTATAATTTTCAAAGTGAAAGAAAAAAGAAAAAAAAGGAGAAAAGGAGAGGGGAGGATGGCGCCATGGTGGTTGTACTTTTCTATATTTATTAAATATATAAATTTTATTTCAAAAATTAAAGAATTTATATCTGAAATCAAATCAAGCATTAGTTAGTGATTTGACAGTTATTCTCCAAATCATTGAAATAGTCAGACTAAACATTTTTGTTCAAACCTATGAACAATTTTATCTGGCAATAACAAAAGTATTCCCTCTGGTCCATATTAAACAAATTATTGAAACCCTTTTCATAGTTCAAAATAATTGAATTATTTAAAATCTATGAGAATTGTTGAGACATTTTTTTTATATTTACCCTTCATTTAATGAGCTTCTTATCTACTTTACATTTTTTAGGAGAAAAGTTTAAGAATAATCGCAAGGATAATAATGAAAAATAGTCTTTAATTTATGTCTTTAAATATTTTTCATAAAAAAATATGACATACTCTTACAACTCACTTAATATGAATTTGAGAAAATATTTACGATCCATATAATCTCCTAATTAATAGAGTAGAAAAGTTGCATAAGTTGGCCTATAATTTTCAGAGCAAAAGAAAGAAGGAAAAAAAGGAGAAAAGAAGGAGAGGAGAGGGGAGGATGGCGCCGTGTGGTTGTACTTTTCTACATTTATTAAATGTATGTAAACTTTATTTCAAAAATTAAAGAATTTATATCTGAAATCAAATCAAGCATTAGTTAGTGATTTGACAGTTATTCTCCAAATCATTGAAATAGTCAGACTAAACATTTTTGTTCAAACCTATGAACAATTTTATCTGGCAATAACAAAAGTATTCCCTCTGGTCCATATTAAACAAATTATTGAGACCTTTTTTATAATTCAAAATAATTGAATTATTTAAAGTCTGAGAATTGTTGAGACATTTTTTTATATTTACCCTTCATTTAATGAGCTTCTTATCTACTTTACATTTTTTAGGAGAAAAGTTTAAGAATAATCACAAGGATAATAATGAAAAATGGTCTTTAAATATTCTTCATAAAAAAATATGACATACTCTTACAATTCACTTAATATGAATTTGAGAAAATATTTACGGTCCATATAATCTCCTAACTAATAGAGTAGAAAAGTTGCATAAGTTGGGTGTACCTAAAATTATTGAGCTAAACTAGGTACTTAGCATAGAAGAAAAATTACTAGTCTATTACTAGGAATTAATACGAATTAACAAGTAACAAACCAGAATAATCCAGCTAAATGAACGAAAATAAATACTTCCTAGTGGGGAAGTAGGGAGCCTTTTTTAATCACCATACAAGTCAAATCAATGTTCGGCTGCAAAAAATTGAAGAGAAAATAATGGAACTTCCCATCCTTGTCTTCTCCATCTCACTAATTTTCTGTTGTTTCTTCATCACACTGTTAATTCACAATACTAAATCCACCAGGAAGCTACCACCAGGTCCTACTGGCCTCCCGATAATCGGCTCACTCCTCCAACTCGGCTCAAAACCCAACCATTCACTAGCCGAGCTAGCCAAAATCCATGGCCCTCTCATGACTCTGAAACTCGGCTCGATCACCACCGTTATAGCCTCCTCCTCCGAAACAGCCAAAGAAATCCTCCAAAAACACGACAAAACATTCTCGGCTCGCATAATTCCCGATGCGGTCTCTTCCCAACCGAATCGGGAAGCCACATTGTCATGGATCCCGCCTGACAACATGTGGAGGAACAAGAGAAGAATATGTAACACGCAAATGTTCAATAACCAAAGGCTTGATTTACTTCAAGAGCTTCGTCACCAAAAGGCGGAACAACTAGTGAGCCATATAAGGAGCCAGTGTGAGAGTGGCTCAGCTGTTGATATAGGACGCGTGGCATTCACGACGACGTTGAATTTAATATCGAACATGATTTTTTCGATCGATATGGTGGATCCGGAATTTAAAAAGGCTCATGAGTTTAAGGAATTGGTATGGACGATTATGGAGGATGGCGGGGTACCGAATCTGTCGGATTATTTTCTGGTTTTAAAGTGGTTAGATTTGCAAGGAGTACGGAGGCGTATAAGGCCAGCGTATTTAAGGTTACATGAAATATTTGAACAACTTATTGAGCAGAGAGTAGAAGCTAGAGGGTCTGGCCAGATGATAAAGAGAGACGGAGATTTTTTGGATGTACTACTTGATTATTGTAAAGATGAAGGTTCTGGATTTGATCGTAAAACTATCAAGCCGATTATCCTTGTAAGTGTTTTTTCTTAGATTAAATTTGTGTTTTTTCTTCTTTGACTTATATTTGTGTGCCATTGACAGGATTTATTTATTGCTGGAAGTGACACATCGGCTCTAACTATAGAATGGGCAATGGCAGAACTTCTTCGAAAACCTGAAGAACTCAACAAAGTACGACAAGAAATAATCCAACAAATAGGAACAAAAAGGGCAGTTAAAGAATCAGACATGGACAAACTCCCATACCTTCAAGCAGTTGTAAAAGAAACCATGAGACTTCATCCAGCAGCTCCATTACTCTTACCTCATAAAGCCCAACACGACGTACAAGTGTTGGGCTTTACCGTGCCTAAGGACAGTCAAGTTTTAGTGAACGCTTGGGCCATTGGAAGAGATCCCAAGACATGGGAAAGGCCACTAGAGTTTCTGCCTCTAAGATTCATGGAATCTAGTCTGGATTATAAAGGTGGAGATTTTGAGTTTATACTGTTTGGCGCGGGTAGGAGAATATGTCCAGGAATGCCGCTGGCTATAAGAATGGTGAATTTGATATTGGCTTCTATTATTCAACCATTTAATTGGAAGTTAGCAGATGGAATGACACCGGAGAAATTGGACATGGAGGAACAGTTTGGAGTTACTTTAAGGAAGGCTATTCCTCTTGTTGCAATACCTAGTATCACTACATCAAACAATTAATTAATATCAATAGTTTAATTATATTTTTAGCGGCAATTAACACTCTTCGTATATGTCCTTAAAGCCTTTAGCGACATTGATTCTAATGACACTTAACTAATGTCGGTAAAGACTTTAGCACTCTTTATTAATGTCTATATTTATTGCCGTTAAAAGTTATTTTTATGGTAGTGTATGGAATAAAACAAGGTTATACTGTATATTTTAAAGTCTTTGTTTATCTTAATGGCTTTATCCCTTTCTGAGCATGTATGAGATTCTTAACGTGCCCTTTTACGTAATGAATGCCCTTTTGATTCTCAAAAGTTACAACTAGTTTGATTTTTGGATCAATTTTGGTTATAAGATCGGATATTCTAGGTGTTGGTGAATGGTGACTAACATAAGTGATATCTTACTCTGTGGTTGTGCAGATATAATCCATTATTATTAAGTTGATCTCAAGTTTAACTTTTTGGAGTTTAAAAAGAATTGATATATATATATATATATGATTATTATTTTTTTAAATATTTTTACTTTAGCAGGAAGTAGGAGTAGTCAAAGCTTCAAAATAGATATCAAATATTAGGTCGAAAACTAATCAAGAAGACAAACTTTTTTTGAAAAAAATGTTTTCCCTCCAAGCCTTTTGAATTTTTTGACCTGATTAATTCAATTTTTTGTTGCATAAAGTTTATTTAATGAGAAACCATACACTCCCTTCCAAAATAAATTTCATTCTTTAATTTTCTATATTTCACTTATAATTCTGGATCTAGATTTGATTTCATAAGTAAAAGATATCAAATTTGCTGTATTTAAAGTTTTAAACCATACAAATCCAACAAGTCTTGAAATATGTGA